TGGGCACTGTTATTTACGTGACAACACCTGAACAGAACACACACACACATTGGCTGTTTGTTTCACCCCTCGCTGGAAGCCTCGGACCTCCAGCCGCCCGCTCCCGTCTCAAACACGGAGGTCTCCCTCTCCGCGGAGCACACGGCGCATGCCCGGCCTGTTAAATAGCCTGTAACCATGACAACTGTGTGACACAAACTCAGTGCTTTAGTCATTAAATAATGTCGGGCTCGGTCGGGTTCGGACAGAAATATGCGGCCCGTGCCGCACTCTAATGGAAACGCACATGACAGGTTTTTTTTACAATCTAGGAACCGTTTGCAGGAACAGTTACTCCAAATGTGATGGAACCGGTTCCGGAACCGGAACTTTGGACCCTGTTCCAAAAAAGAACCAGATCCGGATCCCAACCCTATTCTGGGAGCAAATAACAAAATGTCTATCTGAGTGTTAGGACTGACTGCTCTCCAGCATGTGTGTTGCTCAATGATGATTCAGAGCAGACCTTTAATCACACTCAAAGGCAGTTATGGTTATCAGCATGCACTGCTGCTGAAAAGATATTGGCAGTTAGGTGGAAGCTGCCACACAGTGCTTTTATTCAGCAGTGGGAATACTCTAATGGAGATTTTATCTGTGGAGCTCTCTGTTGCTAGGATGAAGGGGGCAGGTTACATCACGCTTGAGGCTCGGAAGGAGGCACTCAACTTAGCTAGAGAAAGGGTATGAGTTTGTATTTGTCTTCACTTGTACTCTATAGTGCACGTTTGAGAAACTTAATACGTGTATAGTAGAATTCAGAGAAAGACCCCTAGGGACAGGAAAGGTCAGGGTTGAGGAATGATCAGAAGGTGCAGGTGTACATCTGTGAGGACCTCTCCTGGACGACCAACACCACAGCACTGGTGAAGAAGGCTCAGCAGTGCCTACACTTCCTCTGCAAACTGAAGAGGGCAAGAGCTCCCCCACCTATCATGTGCTCCTTCTACTGTAGCAACATTAAGAGCATCCTTACCAGTGTGGTGCAGGAGCTGCACTGGCTACAACCGCGGGACCCTGCAGCACATCGTGAACACAGCTGGAAAGATCATTGGTGTCTCACTCCCCTCCGTCCTGGACATTTGACAACACACACGACACACGCAAAGCTCTCAGCATTGTGTGTGACCCCAGCCACCCCTCACACAACCTCATCTGCCTCCTGCCATCAGGGAGAGGGATCAGAGCCTTCAGGCACGAAAATAAAATTATGCTCCCAAAAAAGACCCCTTATTTGGAGTCTGGTGGGTTTGGTGACGGTGATTTCAGGGCTGTTTCTGGTTAAACAAAAAGGATCTGACTCTTTAACACAAAGCTCTATCTCTGTAGGGATCCTTTCATAATGTTGTCAGACACTTAGAATAACAATCTGAGCCTGTCAGTGACAAAAACAAACACTGTTAGTGGACGTACAATTACAGTGTGATTACAGATGTCTGAAGGACTGTAATCTGCTTTATTCTTAAGGTGGAAGAGGCCAGATCAAACAGAAAAAGAAGACTGTGCCTCAGAAAGTCACGATAGCAAAAATCCCAAGAGCCAAGAAGAAATACGTCACACGGGTGTGTGGCCTGGCAACATTTGGTAAGACGTTTTTGTGTGTGTGTGTTTTTATTGTTTTCAACATTACATTCTCTTCTTCTTAAAGCTTTATTCTCTTAACGTACAATTCCGTGTTGACTCTTGCAGACATCGAACTTAAAGAGGCTCAGCGATTCTTTGCCCAGAAATTCTCTTGTGGTGCCTCAGTTACAGCAGAGGATGAAATAATCATTCAGGGAGATTTTACAGATGACATAATCGACGTCATTCAAGAGAAGTGGCCTGAGGTGAGCTGTCTCAATGTGTCTTCAGTGATTTGTCTTTGTGTGTTTATGTGCTCGTTTGTCTTCTGCCTCTCAGTTTCAGTTTCACTGCATGAGGCAGTGCTGGCTTTAATTAGTAATTTTGCACTGAGTTTGAACCTCTGTAGCTGAGCAGTGATGTTAAAAAATGTAAGATGGTTGGCAGGAGGAGAGGAGGGATTTGGCTGGATTACTGAGAAGAAAGTGGCTCAAAATTTAACTTTATACTTGGAACAAGTTTAGAAAGAAAGATGGATTTCAGGACAGATCAAACTGAGCAGGCTGAAAGAAGTTAAAAGAGCACAACTATACTGGTGCTGTACTTTTTCAGATACTGTCTGTGCAAATGACACACTGTATTTCATGGTTAAATGATACATGATGATACCAGCCTGCAGCTCAAATGTATTTCATGGGCTGTATATAGAATAAACACAAATCAGCTGAAAGAAAAATGAAACATTAGTGGTTTACGTTGGTGTAGATCTATTTTGTGTTTCTTACATCATATTTTGCACATGACAGTACTATAGGTGACTGCTCTTAAAAACAACAACAAAAAAGAATCAGGGAAGAGTCCTCAACTAATACATATCATAAAACCTGGGCGAGATAGAGACCATCAGAACAAGCTTCCTCACAGTTTTCTTGGTTACTAGGATGACAAGTCCCTCCCTAATCTAATATACGATTGGTTCTGTTAAAAGTTCCGAGATTTTTAACCACAAGCACTCGCAGCAACCATATGAAAACGCTGGAGCATGCCTCACCTGTGTCTTGGCCAAAATGTTGCACACAAACACACCGCAAAGGCTAGAGCCAACAGCCAACCAGCAAGTATGTTGTGTACCTGTGTGAGAGGACACACCCCTCTATACCAGCAGGGAGCAGAATTCTATATTCATCATGCAAAAAGGGGAACCAGAAGACCGACAAGATGCTATTTAGCCAGTTAGCGTATTAACAGCACAACCTGATGTTGACAGAACAAATTAGATTTACTGTGAGCTAGCGAACAACAGCACAATAACAAAAATGTTATCTTACCTAGCGTTACAAGTTTGATTTGGTCTCACTTCCTCTTGACTTTAGCTCTTTGTTTACTTTCCTCACTTCCGTTTCTCATGTGCTGAGCTGAGCCGCCAATCTGAGTGATTTCTGTCACCGGCAGGCTCCACTGTCTCCAACATCAATTCAAAGTGCTGAATCAGCCGGAAAAAAGCAGACAAGGGCAGATTAGTGCCAATGCTGCTGGATGCTACAAAAGCTAAGGCAACAGACGTTCACCGATGACCTGGCAATGACAGCTGTTGGTCATTGTCAGGCCATCAGTGAACATCTGTGGTCCTCATCCCTGCGGTGTGTCCGCACTGTTGGCCCTCATTAGTGCTAGTTTTCCCCAACAATTCAGCATATTTATTTGGCATCGGCGACATCGGAGCCTGTTGGAGAATGAAATCACTCTGACTGGCAGCTCAGCACACAAGAGGAGAAATGGAAGTGAGGAAAGTAAACAAAGAGCTAAAGTCAAAGGGAGTGAAATCAAAACTAGTCAAGAAAGGTCAGGTTTTTTTTCTGTAGCAGAAACTTTTTTTGATGGTTTGTGTTATTGTTCACTGGTGCACGGTAAATATGCTCTGTTCTTTCTGGGAACATTGAATTGTGTTGTTAATGTGCTAACTAGCATAAAGACGGTCTTCCAGTTTCCATTTTTGAATGAAATTACAGACCACCGCCATCTGCCGGTATGGAAGGGTATATCCTCACATGTGGGCGCAGAAACAACAGAAACAAAGGCAACATGAGGCGACGTAGCAGGGGTGTTTGTCACCACTAGTTCTCTGAAGTTGGTTTGGTGTGTCTGGGCCTTTAGGGGTGGTTGAAAAGGCCAAAATCTTCTATCATGGCATATGGAATTTATGTCAATACAGTAATTGTTCTATAAATTTAATAAGGAGATTGTTTAAAATAACCATACTGTTTTTCATCACATTTTATTTTCTTCTTCTTTTTGGTACTTCCATACAAACCAAAAAACCTACTGCCTCACATGAGACAACCCTGGAGTTAAAACCAAAAGACTTAAAACAGAGCTCTAAAATTCTTTCATAGTGGAAGCTTTAACGTTCCTGAGAACAATTTCAAATGTTCCAGGTTTCTATATTTATAGCTTTACTCTCCTCTTCCATGTCTGCCCAAATCACGCTGCCTTGCGAGGCAGCAGAATTCGCAAGATCATCACAAGAGCACGTAAGATACAGTATTGCCAAATTCCTACCAGTGGACACGTGTCTGCTGTTGCATGGTATATAGCGTGACAACAGCCCACTCAGCCTGAAGTTTAATTTATAAAAGTGGTTTTGTCATTTCTTAAATCAGCTGGTCTCTGTAGTTTTTATCAAACAGGAGGAAATAGTGCTTTTGTTGGGGACTGTTTTCAGCGGCAGATTAATCCACGTTTGGTGAGTCAGCAGGACGGTGTATGTGGGATGAGTTAAAATAAACTACAATGTGTGTTCAGGGTAATAAAGGAACATGTGACTCAGTGAGGCTCGCTAAGGTGTTTTAATAGGTTTTGGACAACAGTGGAGCTCTGTGGCACACAGGAAAAAGATAGATCAAATGCAAATACTGAGATCTCTGTGTGTCTCTGTTTTAGGTGGACGATGACAGCATCGATGATCTGGGTGAAGTCAAGAAGTGAAGACCAAATATGCACTTTTACTGAAACGGATGTGACCTGTAACAACGACAACAACCTGGCCAAATGTACACATTAAGTCATTTTATACCTATTTTATTTACTGTTCATAAACAGCTGCGGACTTGGCCACTCACTTGGCTTCTTCTTTTTTTTTTTTTTTTAGTTAATAGCTGCTTTCTCTCGTTTGCCAAAGGTGTGGTATGACGTGAATCCCTCCCAAATGTTCTTCACTCAAAGCAAAACTGTAGGCTAATAAATTTCAGTCTCCTTCGCCTGTACGCTCTTCTTTCCAAGTTTGTTGCATGTCTGTTTTCAGAAGCATTAAGGATTGTGAGGCTGCTGCTTCATGAGTCACTTTAAAGGCCGCAGGTTACTTGTTTTTCCTGCGTCCCCATGAGTAAACCTCCTGCCCTGCATAATAGTTTTATAATGAAGCCACACTCCCCAGACAGATAACATTTACAGTTGTTTCCCTGCTCCTCTGCGTCAATACTACTTCCCCAAAGATAACACATAGCGCACGGATGTTTGCTGCACTTGTGAATTTGCATGAATGCAAATATGATTCTCGCCCAAAGAAGTCACCTGGTGCAGCATATCTGTGTTGACACTGAAGAGCAGCAGGTCGGTGTTGTGCTTCACTGACGCGGCAAAATGATGAATGTCACTCCTGCAGACGAGTGCTGCCCCTTCGAGTCTCCCATCCTGGACCAGGTTTTGCCTCCTATACTGGTCTTGGAGTTCATGTTTGGACTGATGGGGAACTTCGTCGCCCTGTGGATGTTCATCTTTCACATGGACACATGGAAGCCCAACGCTGTGTACCTGACTCACCTGGCCGTCGCCGACTCCATCGTGCTGTTCTGCCTTCCTTTCAGGGCCGACTACTACAGGCGTGGGAAGAACTGGCTGTACGGCGACGCCCTGTGTCGCATCCTGCTCTTTCTGCTGGCAGCCAACCGTGCGGCAGGGATCTTCTTCCTCACGGCCGTGGCTGTTGACCGTTACTTCAAGATCGTCCACCCGAGGAACCGGATCAACCGGATGGGCCTGGGCTACGCTCTCTGGGTCTCCCTCGGCCTCTGGGGTCTGATTTTCCTCGCCACCGGCTACCTCCTCGCTAATGAGCACTTCTACTACAACAACAACCGCACACAGTGTGAGAGCTTCAACATCTGCATGGGCTTCAGTCCCCTCTCCACCTGGCACAACACTTTCTACGTCACCCAGTTTTTCCTGCCCACTTCAATCGTCGCCTTCTGCACCATCCGAATCACATGGCAGCTGAGGGTCAGGACCATGGACAAGAACGGGAAGATCAAACGGGCCGTGCAGTTCGTCATGGCCGTGGCGTTGATCTTCATCATCTGCTTCTTCCCCAGCACTATATCGCGCATCGCAGTGTGGATCCTCAAGGCGTGGTACAACGAGTGCAAATACTTCAAAGAGGCCAACCTGGCGTTCTACACGTCGGTGTGTTTCACCTACTTCAACAGCGTCCTCAACCCCGTCGTGTATTATTTCTCGAGCCCTGCCTTCAGCGGCACCTTCAGAAAGCTCCTGAATAAACTGCTGAGAAGGAGCAACGACAAAGATGAGACGGAGTCAGCTGACAACGGCATTTCCACTGTGGATGGCAGAAGAGAATGAAGGTGATATTTGTGTTCCCTGCTAACACTTAAGGGATACTCTAATGGATGCAAACTGCACGTTAAAGGTCAGGCAACATATTTAATTACTGTTATCCTAGTTTATAACTGTAACAAAATGTAGAAGGGGTTTTGCTGTGATTTTAAACAACAAATTGACCCACCTAAAATAATAATCAGGAGCTTAGTGCTCTGTACTTGTGTAACAAAACCCTTGTGAATGTGGTTAATTAATGTAATCATGAGCCGTTAACAATGAAGAATCTCAAGTTGCAAGCAGGGTGTCTACTGGTATCAGACACTTAAATGGAACGCTTTCAACACGGTTCTCACGGTCATGACGAACCTGGAAAGGTCATGGCATTCCACAATCACATTTTCCAGGCCTGGAAAAGTCACAGGATTTATAAAAACCATTGAAAGTTTTGCAAAGTCATGGAATTTTCTTGTCTGTAATGATAATCTTTCTTGGATAACTTTCCAGTTATGTAATGTAACAGCAGTTTTTTTTCAGTTTTACTCATTTTAATGAGGCTGTTGACATGAGCAGCTCTAATGTCAGGGTTCCCACAATCAGGGAGAACCTGGAAAGGTCATGGACTTTCACAATATTATTTTCCAGGCCTGGAAAACTCATGGAAAAGTTTTGAAATTTTGTCCATGGAAATGTGTGGGAACTCTGATTTAATAGAGCCCAACCAATACTGGATTTTTAGGGCCGATACCAATATCAGGGAGTTAAAAATTTCTGATACTGATACACCGGCCGATATCTATCCATCCATCCATAATGTTATTACTGAGAGATGCATACACTGAGAGAGTTAGGGAGTGATCACACCGAGATGAAACGCCAGAAACGCAACGCCAGTAAAACCATTATTTTCCTACGATACGGCGCGTCTGACTGGCGTTCAAGTGTCTTTTTAGACGGGCATTTTTCCGGCGTCTTTTTAGACGCACATAGATGCTGAAAAGCTAAAATATTTTCAACTTTTTGAGCGTCAGACACCAGTAGCTAGCGCGCATTGAATAAGCGCTTCCAGTACTTCAAGCTTCTTTGAAGCGTCCACGTCTCTAGCGTCTCATTTCTGTGTGATCGCCCCCTAAAACTTCATTGGGAATGTAAAAATGATAAAAACAAGCATCGTTTTTCTGGATTATGTTCTGAATAAAAAGAGAACTTTTCATATCTGTGCATATCGGACAACATATACGCCGATACCAACATATCCGTAAGAGGTGAGCAATGGCTGATAAATTTGGCCAATTGAAATATCGGTCAGGCTCCAGCTTTCAAGACCCTTTCAAGATCATTTTAAATCAGATTTAAGACTGATTCACAGACAAATTATCTCTTATTAAGCACTGAAGGTGAGTGTAAAATTTAGATGTATGTAGTCCTGTGTGGAGGAAGGTTTTATGTAGGAATATGTTTATTAGAGTGAGTTAATCTACATTTTGCGAAGTGTAAGTATAATGTAAAGTATAAGGTTTAAACATTTGTAATATCAGAAATGTGGACCCTCATGCAGAAGAGCTCGACTCATTTTGACAAAAAGAAATCTTAAAAATCAATGAATTAAATAATTGATTCAATTCTTGTGGCAATAAAGACCTTGCAAATTCAAATTTAAGACTATTTAATGACTTTTAAAGCGTCAAGACCGAATTTAACTTACTTTATAAGGGCCTGCAGACGCCCTGGTTGAAAGGGGACCTCATCAAATATGAGCTGCAGATGTTTGTAAAGGCAACAATATCTATCAAATATGTGATGTTATGTGTGTATCAACCTTTCTTCTGTAAGGTAGTTCATACAAGAGTTTACACTGTCAATCACATCCACTGTGAACACTGATTTTCTGCCTCCCATTAAAATAATATTTACAGTACAAATGAGCTGAACAGCCAGAGGGACGTTCAGACGACTGCTGTCACTGAACTGTCAACACACAATCTGTACATGTACTGTTTAATGAGGTAACTGAGTCTAACAGGGTTGTGGGCATGCAGGTAAATCAAACTGATAATGTAAAAGCAATTTATCTTCTCTTATGTCATGTGTGCATACATTCGAACACATTTCCTGTCTCTGTATCTCGTCACATTTTGTTTTCAGTAAATAAATTAAACACAATAACTGAGATAAATCACATTTTACTGTTTGTGCCTTTTTACTTTGTGTTTGTGTTTCTTCCAACTCAAGGAATCACGTTTTAATTAAAATCTGGAGTTTGACCTCATTCATCCATGTCAGGAGTTGGCAAACTTTAAATAAAAAAAGACTGGATTACATAATCTAATCCAATTTTAGATATTTGTATTCTCTTGAACAACTTATTTTCAAGATTTGATCCAATCAAATAGCTGAAATCTGATCAGACAACCATCCAGATGGTCGGACTTAGTAATTTGAATATAACAAATGGAAATAAAAAGAGCTGGGAAATAAATGTCTTAAGTGATGGAAATAACATTTTGGAGTTCTTAGTCAAGGTGTTGTTCCCATTTTAACCCCCAACCCAGTGGCATGAGGCCATTACAATGGGCCCCAGTGAACACAATCATGCACATACTGTCTCGTCACATGATCAGAGACTTGACAGTGGATAACATTAACATACATATTACACAGCAATCATCACTGCATATCTGTATATAACAAAAAATACCTAAGAAAAGAAGAAATTATTGATTTAATTTAATAACTTTAAATGCTGATTTATAGAATAGTTAATTTATAGAATACTGTAAAACTTCAATTAAAAGCCCAGTCGCTTTTACGAGGCTTGTCTCTATTAGAAACCTGGTCTGGTTGCCAAGCAGTTCATTTTTATAGAAGTTCTTTGGATGTGTAAAACGGGATTGTTGACCACCTACTTGAACGAACGTTAGTTGTCAGTGTGGAGATGCTACATATTGTTAGCTCACTTCAGTTTATTTTACTGAAACCATGAGCACCAGAAAAGACCTTAAGTTATTCTGATTTACCGGCATGACTTCCCTCTTCCGAAGCTGTCATAAAGTCAGAATAAGTGTCCATTCCTCAGTTATGTGATTAAGTTATTTATATTTCTTTAGTCTGTAAGGGTCCACAGATCAAATGAATCAAACATGTTTTTCATAAAAATTAATCCAAGTTATGAATATTGTTTAACAGGATAAAGTGATGTTGTGTTGGTATGCTGGATGCCATGAAAACAGTGACATAGCATTACACATGATTGATAGGTTATTTAAAGCCTAACTTTTATACAAGTAATATTCATACTGGCTCAAATAAACAATTTGAATTTGAATCTTTGCTGAGCAACAGTTTTGCGTTAAACACATTTAATATAGATACCTGTCCCAAATATAAGCCTGTTGACTTCAGTGATGTCAGCCAATAATAGCCCAGGCTACTATTTGAAGTTTTACAGTAGCTGATTTATAAAATAAGCATGTCCATCCATCCATTTTCATCCGCTTATCCAAGGCTGGGTCGTGGGGGCAGCAGGCGCAGCAAAGCACCCCAGACGTCCCTCTCCAGCTCCTCCTGGAGGACCCCGAGGTGTTCCCAGACCAGATGAGATATATAATCCCTCCAGTGTGTTCTGGGTCTGCCCCGGGGCCTCCTACCAGTGGGACGTGCCTGGCACACCTCCAGCAGGAGGTGCCCAGGAGGATCCTGATCAGATGTCGAACTACCTCAACATGAAGGAGCAGCGGCTCTACTCCGAGCTCCCTCTGGATGTCTGAGCTCCTCCTCCTCCTGTCTCTAAGGCTGAGCCCAGACACCCTACAGAGGAAGCTCTTTTCGGCTGCTTGTATCTGTGATCTCATTCTTTCAGGCCGTGTTTAGACGACAACGATTTCTCTAAAAACGGAAAAGTCTGTCCTTTGCGTTTTAAAAAACTTCTGCGTTTATATGACGACGTTATTGAAACGATCCCGTTCACACAGAGCCGCAAAATCTACTGGAAACGCTGTAGTATGCACGCCAGGCCAATGGGTGGCAGTGTAAATTTGCAAAGCAACACCATGGCGTGACGCCATGCCTGCGCTGAAGCGCCTTCCTCTGCAACGCTGTGATTACAAACCAAAACAAAGAAGACACAATGGTGAAAGCACGCACAGATAACTTTGTCTGGATGGACGACGAGGTGGAGTTGCTACAGTAACAGATCTACACTTCACTTCAAATCAACAGGGTGAGCAGCACAAACAGAGCTCGTCATTGTTGTTGTGACGGTCAGCATGCCTCGTGACTGGAACCGCAATGTGCATGTGCGAAAAGTCTCCGTTTTCAGAGGAACTGCATATTGCAAGTTTACATGACAACGGAGACGCTGCCGTTTCCAAAAAGTTGCACTCTGGAACCTGTTTTCAAAACTTTGCTTTTTCAGGCACCCAAAACGCCGCTGTCGTGTAAACGATCGGCCAAAACGCAACTAAAGTTTACTGTTTTCAGTTGAAATCGTTGTCGTATAAACGGGACCTCAGTCACTATCCAGAGCTCATGACCATAGGTGAGGGTTGGGACGTAGATGGACCAGTAAATCAGAAAATAATTCTGTTATACATGCTTATTGACTATTGTATAAAAAAAGAAAAAAACAAACATGACTGAGATGGGTTTGTGTTTTTCAAGGGCATGTATAGCAAATGAAACTGTTTTTAAATTAATGAGAGTTCTTCTTTGAACACAGGCATATTTTCAAGGGCCCATTCTGCACTCTACACATCGTTGGAGGGCCCACTCTCACTGTGGGCCCCCCACATCATGGGCCCCAGTGCAACTACACTGCCTACACTGTCTGTGTTTACGCCCCTGCCCCCACCTTCCTATAAGTCCAAATGCTGTTAGTCACATTTATTTATCAGTGTATCTCTTCTATTTAATCTTTATTTACAAAGCGCTTTCAAAACAGATTTACAAAGTGCTTTACATGTCTGTTATTAAAACAGACAAGGCATTAAAACAACAACTTTTAAAAGAACTGATAAAAAAAAACACTTTAGTGTATAAAAACTGAGGAAATAAAAGACAGTTTAAAACAACGTAAAACTCAAGTAAAATCAAGAAAGTCTTTCTCTCTTTGCTGCCTATCACAATAAGATAATCCTTAAACTTGTGCAACTGCCTGTTTCATAATTTATTTTTCCAAATGATGGTTCCAGGGTTCCCTAAACTCCACAATTAGCCGATGTATGTATGGGTTGAAAAAAGGAGTTCGGATGTCCGAGCTTAGGAGCAGTCCATGAAAGCATCAATAGTTGCCACGATGACGTCATGCTGGGGCTGGGCTGAGAAACGATGAGCGGCTGGAAAAACATGTAACGGTGCAAAGACACGGCTGCACCCACCCACACCATCCTTTACTGAGCCTCAGTTCACCAGCGGAGACCAAGTAAGCTTCCACGACAACTTTCTACACACCTGTCTGCCTTTATTTATATTTAAACACCTTCTCTGTAGGGCGTTGTTTGATGCTAACGTGAAGCTAGCTAGCTTTGGCAGTTGGAGCGCATTCCAACAGGGACCAAAGCTCCAGACACCAGATATGACATCAAGAGATAAGTTTAAGCACTCTGTTAAATAACATGTGTGATCAAAATAACCTGACACTTCGATTTTTAACACGTAGGGTGTTTAATAAGAAGTGTTACTAAGTTAGTGGCTCCAGAGATGCAGCAAGTAGAGCCCAGCCCAGACACAAACAACACGGTGTCTCATCATCTGTTGGTCGGCCAACAAAGCATCAGCAGTGATTTATTTAACATGTAACGGGTCATGTGTGATGGTGTAAGGCTGGAGATACAGGAGGCTGAGGTGTTAGCAGATACAGGGGGACACAGGAGGGGTTTGACAGCTGTAGGTGTGCTTGTTGTTTTGGTCCTGCAGCACCGGCTGGGCAGGGGGAGCAGCACTGTTGAGGTAATGTTACAGCAGGTTGCTCAGGTTACCTGCTCACTGGATGGACTGAAACACACCTGTTTTCCTCCTGTGCTTAAGAGCTGAAAAAGATGCTACAAAACAGATATATATTTAAACTAAAACATGCTTTTATTGGATGGATATCTGTGGAAAATACCTGCAACACTGTCACTTGTAGAAGAAGTATTCACATCCTGTTCTCAAGCAAAAGTATTAATACCACACTGTGGAAATACTCCACTACAAGTAAAATCCTGCAATCAATAGGAAAAGTACTATTACCACTAATAAATATAATAATACACTGGATTTATTTAGCTCTTTTTCTGGATACCCAAAGACGCTTTACAAAGAAGAACAGCACCAGAACAAAGATGAAATAATCCATAAGATGGGAGACAATGCTAGAGAGGAAGAAGAAGAACGCAGTTTTGAAGAGGTGTTTTAAGGGATTTCTTGAAGTTGGAGCATGAGGGGGAGATTCTGATGACTTTAGCGAGGGAGCAGCAGTGGAGAAGGCCCTGTCCCCTCCAGGTGCTGTGTTTAGTCCTGGTGAGGAGGGAGCAGGACATTGGAGGAGCTCAGACAGGTGGGAGGAGCCAGGTTGTTGAGGTGATGTTGAGGAGTTTGAAGTGGATACGCTGGGGGAGAGGGAGCCAGTGGAGGTTAAGAAGGACGGGTGATACAGTCAGAGGTTTGGATGATGAACCGTAGAGGAGACTGTTGCAGTCATCCAGTCTGGAAGTGATGAATGTGTGAATGAGTCTCTGCGGCTGAAGAGGAGAGGGATGGACGGACGCAGGTGATATTTCGGAGATGGAAGAAGGCTGTTTGAAGTCATGCAATCAAAACCTTACTTCCGTAAGAGTTTGCTTCTTCAAAACATACTTAAAGTAAAAGTATTCATTGTGCAGTACACTGTTCCCTGTTGGTGTTTTCCGAATCAATATTCCTGCTGCATTAATGTGTATATGGCATTTTTCTGCTGTAGATGTTTAAGGTTGTGCTCATTTTAACTCCTTTATACACTGTTGGGTAGTTTAATGTGAAGCAACACATCGTATTCTTGAAGATCATCATGTTTGTAGCGTGGCTGTCCTGTGAGTGGAGTTGCAGCGGTACACGATATACCGTGCTATAGGCTAAATATTGACGGTACATCTGGTTATCTATGTCACTGAAAAAGAACGCTACCGGACAGAGTATCTCACCTTTGTTAATTTTCAAAAGAGAGATTTTTTACCCATACGTGTATGGAAAAAAAAAAAAGTTAGAAGTTTCAGTTATTATAAAATGTTTGTTCAACCAAAAAACATTCCTTTAAAGGTCATTGTTACTGATAATAATAATAGTTTTATTCTGTATATCGTGGAATATAGAGGCTCATGCACACCTTCAGAAACTTGTAGTGGAAAATGTCCATAGGTGGAGAAAAAGGGAATTCCTTTATTTGATAAACCACGGTTCAGTCACCAGGCCTTCACCAGGTTAAGCACCCTATTGTGTACGGTATTTGTGACAAAGCATTTTCCAGCTGATAAAAGAGGTTTTTTTAAAGCGTTAATTTTGCTTAAGAGGGAGGAGAATTTCCTCAGCACATGAAGGAACTCTTTATCCTTCAGTTTATCACAAACATTTAACAAAAATCTGGAGATACATCACCGGACAGGAAGGGGATGAAAGCTGACAGACAGATGTAGTGGAGTAAAAAGTACAATATTAGTCTAACCTCTGAGATGTGGTGGAGTAGAAGTATAAAGTTGCATTAAATGGAAATGCTCAAGTAAAGTACTACTGCGTCAAACATGTACTTAAATACAGTACGTGAGTGAGTGTAATCTCTGGTTCTGCTGATTTTATAATTCTTATAATTCTATAAACGGTCCCAGTGTGAGTCCAACAGTGTTACTGGCTGCTGAATCAGTGGAGTGCTCTTAAATGTAGCGTGTGATATGTAAAAACACAGCCTCTACTGCACTGTATGAAACATATTATCTGTGTTGACCTAGTTGCACTCGGAGTGAATCATCTGCTTTATGAATAAAATGGCCGCGTGGTCACGCTGCTGCTCGACACCTACGAAACAAGACCTGCGGAGAAATGAAGGTTTTACAGTGGATATAAAAAGGCTACACATGCTTGTGAAATTGCAGGGTTTGAAATGTTAAGACAGAAAGATCAACAACATAAATGTCAGACTTGTTCCATCTTTAATGTGAGCTTACAACAAACACAAATCCAGAGACAAATATTTTTTTACTAGGAATATTTAAAGGTCCAGTGTGCAGGATTTAGGGGGGTATATTAGAAAAAATTGAATATGATATAATCACTGTGTTTTCTTTAGTGTATAATCACCTGAAAATAATAATTGTTGTGTTTTCGTTACCTTAGAATTCGCCTTTTATGTCTACATAGGGAGAAGGTCCTCGTCTACAGGGATCACCATGTTGCATCTCCATGTTTCTACAGTAGCCCAGATGGGCCAAACCAAACACTGGCTCTAGACAAGGCCATTTACATTTTTGCTTTTTCGCATCGGCTACTGAATTATCAGCCCCTCTGCAACGAGCAGCCTTGGAAAAACACAGATTTTTTAACGTGAAACTGCTTTATTCAGTGTTTTTAGTGGCTCAGGTCAGAGGGTTTGTTTATTTCGGAGAGGCTGGATGAAATCTGCGATCTTCACTGACAGATGCCACTAAATTCCCCGAAATCGTACACACTGGACCATAAATTAAAGAAAACTAAAACACCCTGATCATAAGTCTGCACATCTTTTATAACAGGGGCTCTAGCTGTGTTCAAAGTTAACTAATCACATTCAAAATCATGCTTGTAGGTACGTAGCATACACCTGCCATCAATGAAAGTGATCCTGATTAAAACCAGTGAAGTCAGCTGTTGCTGTAGGATTTGCTGGAGTGTTTGGGGTTGCATCCTACTGCTAAAGCCATGTTCCTCAAAGAGTTAACAACGACACTGCCAGATCTAATTGCTCAGGACAGGGATGTAAAAGAATATAGAAGGCATTAGATGTACCATGGAGCGCTGTCAAAACCATCATCACAACCCTCCAGAGTTGATGAGAGGATGAGGTGAAAGCTAACCAGGGAGGCTATAAGGAGACCAGCATTAAAGGAACTGCAGGAATGTCTGGCAGGTGCTGGTACTCCTGTAATCTCCACATCTATGGGGAAGGGTGGCAAGATGGAAACCCTTTCTTCCAAGAGGGAACCTCAAAGCTTGTCTGAGTTATGCCAAAAGACCTAATCAGTCAATGCAAACCATGTTGTGTGATAGTCTGATGAGACAAAGGTTGAACTTTTCAGCTTTAATTCTTAAAGATATGGTTGGCATAAAAGGGCTTCTTGATATACCACTATTGAGGAAAATGGCATTATTTAAAAGTAAAATGTTGATATCATGTTAATAATACACACATGATAATGTTATGTAAGTAATGCAGCATCTCTTAGTGGTTCCCAACTGGTGGGTCACGGTCCAAAAGTGGGTCACGGGTCCATTCTGAATGGACCACAAGTGTCTGGCAAAGGTGTCAAGTTTGTAAAGAACACACTTTATTTTGAAGTACAGTGAATTTCTGGTACAGAGCTTTTATTCTGATGTGCCGTTTCTTGCTGTAGGGTGAATGACTAACAGACAGCTACTTGACAGAAGCCCCTTTTACACTGCCAGATTTTCGGCAAATGTTGGGCTGTTTTGCCAGCCAGCTGCGAGCGTTTAGACACACAGAGCCGGATTGGCGAGTTGATCCCAGGTGCCCAATTTTCTGCCTCGTAGGGTAGACATATTGGCAGTTTAAACAGACCGAAGTGCCCTTCCGCAACGGGAGGGGCTGTTGATGAGTTGTGGGAGGAGCTGTTGATGACGCCGCACGTGCGAGCCACTGGCGGTGGATAAACAGGAAACAGCTGATAGCAGGAATTAGCGAGCAGCTAGTAGCAAGAGGGAAACGAACTGACAGACACTGTAAAGATGAGCAACTGGGGAGACAAGGAATTGCGCGCCCTCCTTGTCCTCGCAAACGAAGAGGCCATTAACCGTCAGATGACGGGGACGGTGAAGGACGGGCCGACTTACGAGAGAGAATCGCCGAAGGACTGACCAGCCGCAGCTTCCCTCCCACGTCACTGTTTACGTCACACGCTGAGCTACACGTTTTGTTACTTGCTCACGCCCCCCATTGCCCCGAAAAAGGCACATTCTGTATAAACAAAAGTAGGTAGGCGGCATTTTGCTGCACTCCCCGATTTTGTTTTTATACTGCCAATGCTGAAAAAACACTGATTGGGCTTTCCTGCAAAT